GAAATCATCATATTCATATAAATAAATTTTAAATTATTAAAGTTGATACCTTCTCTATATCTTGTAACTGTTTAAGACAAAATTTACATTTTTCTTCAACAATTTCTAACCATACTTTTTCTAGAATGAGATGTAGTCGATTGCAATCATTGTCTTCTGTTTGCAAACCATATAATCTCCACATCTCATGCAAAACTCTGCTTATAGTAATATTTTCTGATGGTTCAGTTTTTAAAAATTCATACAGAGAATAAAAGTTTCCAGTTTCTTCAGACATTAGTGTTAAGTGAGAATGAATGTGAAGACTAATAACAATAACAATTTATCAGTTTTACAAAATCTGCATATTTATCAGCCAATCATTTTTTAATGAATTAAAAAATGATTTTTGTTTGTATAATGGCACAATCATGAGATTCTACCAAATTTATGTTTACCAAAGTTACGAGCTAATTCTACCAATATTATGTTTACCAGAGTTATAAGCTAATTCTACCACATTATGTTTACCAGTTTTGAGTTAACTCTACCAAAATTATATTTACGAGTTAATGTTAACAGTTAATTAAATTCTACCAAATTTACGGTTACCAGAATTACTAATTAATTCCACCTACATTATATTTACCAGATTACGAATTAATTATATCTAATATTTACCAAAATTATGTTTACCAGAGTTATGAATCAATTCTACCAAAATTATGCCTCCCAGAGTTACGAATTAATTCTACAAGATATTAGATATGTTTTGTTTAACAAAGTTATGAAATACTTAAATTAAATTTTAAACTAAATAAATATAATCTTTTTTTTCTTTTCCGTATATAGATTTATTTTATTTTTATCTTTTTAATGAATCACAATTTATTTATTATATGATGTTTTTATATTTATATTGCTACCCACGCAAACTTATTTATTGGATGTATATCAAACCCAGTGTTTCGTGTATATTGTTTATTGATATCAGAATTTTTATGCTAATTCGATAAAGTCAATTCATATTATGATTAATAAACTAAACTTAATAAATTTGTATTTATTAAAATTCATTTCAAGCATATTTTTGTAAATCCTATAACATCGCACACTTATTTCTTAGTCAAAACGTTGTATTATTTTTTAAGAAATTTCAATTGATTAATCAAAAAATGGTTTGAATTTTGTTGGTATTGCTTTATCAATTAACTAATTTGAAACCTAACATGAATTTATTTTTAATTAATTATCTGAAACAAAAATGAATTAATAATATACATTTCAAATTTTACTATTTTAAAAAATTTTTTATAATTAAAATTGGATTTTTGAACTTTCATATTAATTTAATGTATAAAATTAGCTATTCTGGTTTATATTAAGAATTCTATTGGCCGTGGTATTTAATATAATGGGCCATAGATACCCTTGGTGTCTTGAATCCAAATGAGGTAACTAAACCTAATTATATGTCGTATACTGTGAATTAAAGTAATTGCGATATCAAAATTTTAACTGAAAAAATAACTGAAATAAACTTCAATTGAGAATGAAACTAATGAAACTTTGTCTAATTAATATTTTAACAATCTATGTAATTTGAAAGTGAATTTTGAATTGATTATAATTGTTGTTTTAAGATTAATTTCCGTTTGTAAAAAAAATATATATAACTTATAACCTCTTTCTCACTCGGTAAAATTTAAAGATGATTGGTAAAAATATTAGTATAAATATTCATATGACTACACTTCAAGATGCGATTAAAGATTATAAAAATAAAAACTATGAATATGCCTAATAAGGATATTTTAAATTTTAAAACTGAAGAAGGCAAAAAAATTTGTGGACAGGCTACATATGGGCTAGGAGCTGGAAAAAGGTCCGAAAATGACAATTTTTTCAAAATAGATTTTTTTACATAAATCAATTTAGAATAAAGTTAGGATCTTTTTTTACTTAAGACACAAAGGTAGTTGTGTTAATAAAATTTTGCAGTATAGCTCTTTAAAGTTTGTATTTTCTTATAATCTATTATAAGATTTGCAACACAAAAATTGATTTTCCGAAAATCTTTTATTTTGTCATTTTCGGCCCTTTTTCTAGCACCTAGCCCATATTATCTTGCACTTTGTTTAATTAACGGACAAGGTTGAAAGCCATTCGGCAGTATTATTAACAGTGGTAACTATGCCCCAACCATATCCTATGTTCAATAAAGTTGCCTTTCAGGCAAAAAAAGAAAAAAAAAAAAAGAAAAAAAAATTTATTTTGGGCATTTTAAGCAAATTTTTTCTTCAGTAAAAATTTCATACCTGATGCATCTCTTTAGTATCCACAGCAGTCGTATCCTCAAGAAAAACAATATCATAATTTTCATTAAACGCTCCTATAAAATTATTATTAGCATCATTTTTATTTCATCATTTGGGGTGAGTCAATTGAAATGCGCCAAATTTTTTTTAAGTAAATTTTTTTAAACTTTGAACAATCAAAAATTTTTTTAAATCAATTCTATAATCTTGTAGAATTCATTTGTATTAAATTTGATTAAGTTTTTATTGATTGTTAAAGGTTCAAAAAAATTTTCCTAAAAAAGATTTGGTGAGTTTCTACTGACTCACCCCATAGATTAACATAAGTTCTCACTTTTAGCAGTTGTCTCACAGCATAAGTTTGTTTTAATACCAGAAATGATGAGTGTTTTTATACCAAGGGAGGTGAGAAAGGAATTAAGTTCGGTCTTGTAGAAAGCATCATAGCGAGTTTTACTTTGGATGATAAAGTCAAGGGTACCAATTGAAGTTGATGATCGCTAAATTAATGTTAACGTAACATTAATGAATATTATGAATTTTCGTGTCTCAATTCAATAATCAAACCTGGATAATTGAATCCAATTCTTTCAAAATTTTATACTTTTCAGTTCTTCGCATTATCATTTCATCTTTACCTTTCCACTTAAAAATATATTTGCCATTATTTTCATTTATTTATTTTTTATATATAAAAATGATTAATTAAATACCTATCGCGCCAAGGCTCCTCCATCGAATTCAACATTCATGTGACCATGCTGCGTCCATAAAACTAGAATTCCTTTCTTATGACAAGTTAGAACAATAGACTTTATGTTTAGAATAATTTTATCAACTACGTCACTATGAAAAAATTTCTATTAAGAATTATTTGAAGTTTGCAATTTCTAAATATATTCTTATAACTTACTTGCATATCAATGACTAACAAGGCAGCTTTTTTAGGATCGTGAGGAATAGAAGTTGACATATCGTTCTATTCGTTCTATAAATGATACCAAGATAATTCTATGAATTATCAAGATTCTACCAATTATAAAACAAAAGAGTTGGTAATGATTTATTGTCTGACGGCAATACCAATAGGAGACCAAGCAAGAGTACCTGCAGAAATGAAGTCTTTGCGATTATGATAGTAATAACTTGCACCATATCGAGGTATTTATAGCATTCATTATCAGTGTATCAAACAATAATTGAAATTTAATTGGTTACTCTAATATATTAACATTAATGTTTTTAACAAAAAAGAACAAAGACAATTTTTTTTTGTCTTAGTAACAATCGTCAAAAGGAAATGATTATCACTATCTGATACGTAGTATATAGCGTACGTACATACTTTAATTAATAAAAAGTGAATGTTAAAAATGCTGAATACCTATACTAAATTATTACCTCATAGGCAAAATTATGTATTTAAGATTTATAATGAAGTAGAAAAATATGTTATCTCCAGTACACCTGATAAAGAGTGTCAAAAAGATAATTTTCTTGATCTAATAACAAAAAATAATGAACTTAATGAATGTGAAAAGAATTATTGCCGAGAAATGTTCATATGTAATTATGAATTGCATAATGTAATTCACAAATTCGGTGAGCCTATAACATGTAAAAATTGTAAATTTGCAAGATATTCTGTCAGATATTGTGAAGTCTGTATTAAACAATACTTACAAAAATCCTTTGGAACCTGGACATCTGAAAATAGAATTGTTGATGAATTTATTTAAAAATGTCAATTAATTTCATCAGTTCCACCATATATTATAGAGTGGATTCCTTTTGAGCAATTTAAAGATGTCAAGTATTTAACGAGAGGTGGTTTTAGCACTGTTTACTCTGCAACATGGACTAGGGGAAGCATTTATGATTGGGATGAAAACAAAAAAAAATTCATTTACTTTGAATATTTTGGACCTCAAAAAGTAGTATTAAAGTCTTTAAATGATTCAAATGATCCTGAAAAAAATTTTTTTGATGAGGTTTGTAATAAATTTTGACAAGCTATGAAATGAAATATTTATTTAAGGTTAATAAACTTTATAATTCTAGGCAATTAATTATTTTAAGATTCAATCAAATTCGATTGTT